GAGGGCTCTCTAAAACATGGTGCTCATACACGTGTAGAGCAAAAAAGGGAAAAAACTGCTGGGGAAAAATGTAGTTTTTACTGAAATGTGTCTCCTTTCTTTTGGAGAGGAGGTCAGAGTATACTAGACATATCAGGAGCTGTCTTGAAAATGGGGCCATGTAAGTTATAAGAACAGCTGCAGAGGTCTTTTAAAAATATCTGGTTAGTAAAGCAAACAGGGCAGCTGATTGTCTTAAAATTATAGGAAGAAAATGTCAGTTAACAGGCAGAACTTTATATTTTACGTGGGCCCTGGAGATTAAAGAGCATTTGCACACAAGCGGAAAGCATGCTTTGTATTATGGCTGTTGATAGGATGTGTTTTTAAAAATTGGAACATCATAATTAGGACTCGCAAGAAAAGTTCCAACTTTATTAATTTAAATGGAGACTTTCTGCTAAACACAAAAGGCAAATGCTTATTTATTTCAAACAGTAATACTGTTGACAGTAACCTTCCCTCTTTATTGTCGGTAATGTAAATGCCTGCATTTGAGTCCTGAATCATCAGCAACACTCTGCTCATTGTGCTGCTGCTGTATTTATTTGATAATAACGGCCGTAGGTCACAGTTGCATGCCACTTTACTGGGTGTGATTACATTTAATCCTTCTTTTTTTTAGTTTGGCCTATGTTTTTATTATCAGTTAATAGAAATATTACATTAGGTGCTGTGCAGAACACGTAATTTTCTGTCCTGGGTTTATTCACAAGTTAGTTCTTCTTTATTGAAGTATCATTGATACACAATCTTATATTGGTTTCAACTATACAGCACATGGTTCAACATTTACCCGTATTATTAAATCCTCTCTCCAACTAGTGCAGATACTATCTGTCAACACAGAAAGATGTTACAGAACTATTGGCTGTATACTTCATGCTGCACTTCCATCCCTGTGACCAACTTACATTATAATCGAGAATGCTTGTGCCCTTTTATCCCCCTCACCCTCCTTCTCCCAGACCCTTCTCTTGGTAACCAACCACCAGTCACTTCTCAGTTTCTATGAGTCTACTGCTGTTTTGTTCCTTCTGTTTTGCTTTGTTTTTGTACTCCCCTTGTATGTGAAATCCTATGGTATTTGCCTTTCTCTGCCTGGCTTATTTCACTGAGTATAATTACCTCTAGCTCCATCTATGTTGTTGCAAATGGTAAGATTTATTTATTTTTTGTGGCTGAATAATAATTCCACTGTGTATGTACCACATCTTCTTTATCTGTTCATCTACTGATGGACACTTAGTTTGCTTCCATAACTTGGCTATTGTAAATAATGTGGTGATAAACATAGGGTTGCATATATCTTTTTAATCAGGAATTTTGTTTTCTTTGGGTAAATTCCTAGAAGTGGAATTACTGGGTTGTATGATATTTCTATTTTTAGTTTTTCAAGGAACCTCCATACTGCTTTCCACAGCAGTTGCACCAATTTACATTCCCACAACAGTGTAGGAGGGTTGATTACATTTAATTCTTACAGCAGCTCTGTGTTGTGTAAGGCACACATTGTTAACTATATTTGATAGATAATAGACAGATGAACAAACCAAGACTCAGATGGGGTAATTAATTTGTCCAAGGCCACATCTAGTTAGTTGTATAAATTGCATATTTGATTGGGGAAGAATTCTTATTAAAGTGAATATATCCCATTAATAAACATTTTGCTTTGGGGAAGTATCTACAAATTCTTTCATTGCAGTTACTTAGACCGTTGCCAATGTATAACCTTGGTCATATTTTTGTATACATGTGCATAGAAGAGGCCAAGCAGATACATCTTTTATTTCTGCTAGCTGTACATTACTGGATATTTTTAAAAAATCAGCTTCCTAAAAATCACATTCCTAATTTGTTGACTCAAGAAGTGCTCCCATGTTTGTTTTATTTTGTTTTTTGTTTATTTAAGCAAGGGAAAGAGAAGGAAGGACTAACACCCCCAAGAAAAACCTTCACTTTAAAAATATTGCTGCATTGCAAGTCAGCCACTCATAAAACTTTGAAACAGTTTCAGAAAGATTCTTGGTCCTTCCAGATAGGGAAGGTGCAGACACATCTGTGATCATGTTTGAAGCAAGCAAGGGAAGGTGGGAGCAACCATCTTGCGGGGGCACACAGTTTGTGCAGGCTTTTGGGTGCTGTGGACCACTCCTTGGAGAGCTGCTCATTGTCAGCACCTTTAGTTCTTTACCTGTCAGGATGGCAGGAGCCAATTTTCTGAAACTACCTCTCACAAACCTCCCTAGAATCTCTCGCATTGTCATTTCACCCAATTTGAAAAGCTCCTAATGACCCTTCGCATTAACTCACATTCTCAACAACCCATCAGAACATTTCTCACACTTCTTCCCTGAAATCTGAGCCTGATGAAAACTTCATCCTCCAGAAGTATTTATACCTGTACCACTCAGTTTTCTAAGCCAGTGGACACTGCCTTTCCTGATGGTGGCTTTTTTCAGGAACGTATGTGATTCATCTCCCCACTTGAGTGTAAACTTCAGATGGGCAGGAGCTGTGTCTTAGGCCCAGTTCTTGCTATCCACCCTTCCTCCTCCCCTGGGTACCTGGCCCAGTTTGCTGAGAGACAGGGGCTGTGTTGATTGAGAACATGTACGCTGGGCCTGATTTCCTGGGTTTGAATCTTGACTGCTACCTCCTGGCTGTAATGTTTGCCAAATCAGCCTCTTAATCCGTAAAATGGAAATCATAAGGCTACTGACCTCAAAAGGTTGTTCAGAAGATTCAGTGAGATACGGTATGAAGAGTGCTTACAACAGTATCTGGTGCACAGTGAACACTAGAGAAGCTTTGCTACTGTTACTCTACAGTAAACGCCTGCAGGTGAGGGACCAGAGGCTCACCAGAAGGATGCTGAGGCAGGGAGGATGGAAGAGTGGCCCCGGGCCCCGCGCACCTTTCTTCACTACCCGCCTGGGCCTCACGGGTCGTCCCCACCCCAGCTCAGGCCCCTTCACCACAGCTGGTGGTGTTGAGGAGGTGCAGAGTGCTGTCCCTAGAGAATTGTGCCGTAGAGTGGATGGGATTTGGTGCATGTACGAGTGGGTGTGGGGGAAGTACTTGGGGAGTTGAGGATGCCTTCCAGGTCTCCAGCTTGAGAGGCTAGGTCAACAGTGATGCTGTTAACTGGAAAGGGATCCCAGAATGCAACAGGTTAGAGTGGTAGGGAATGAGTTCAGTCATGTTGAGTTTGTACTACCCAGGATGCATCCAGATGGAGCCGCCACCCAGCAGTAATGACAATAGCAGATAACACATTACTGAAAAAATATCATGTTGCTTTTGCTGCTGTTCAAGACATTTATTGGTTCTAACCCACTTAGTCTTGCAACTACCCTGTGAAGGAGGCACTATTGTTGTGCCCATTTACAGATGAGAAAACTAGGTACGGAGTGGTTATGTCGTTTGTGTAAGGCTACACCACTCATGCAGGATGGTGCAGAGAGAGGGAAGCAGGCAGTCTGGTCGCAGAGCTCCCACATTTAGCCACTCTTCACAGACCCCATATCTGCAGTCTCAGAGGGAGGCAAGTCCAGACGTGTCGAGAGGTGGTCCAGCCACGGTGGTGATGGTAAGCTCAAAGTGAGATTGTGGAGTGAGGTGGGTGTTGGCTGAAACAAAATTGTATGCTGGCGTAAGTGAACATTGTTGTGGAAGATACAGGATCAGCGTTAAGGCATGAGTAGAGGAAAGGTCAGGTAAGAGGTTAATACTTGCTATGGACCGAATATTTGTGTTTTCCCAAAGTCGGTATGTTGAAGTTCTAATCCCCCGTGTGATGGCCTTCAGAGGTGTGGCCTTTGGAGGTGGGGGCCCCAGGTCATGAGGGTGGGGCCCTCATGATGGGGTTCGTGCCCTTGTGAGAAGAGCTGTGAGAGAAGACCTCTCCACCGTGTGTGGACACAGTGAGCCTGATAGAGGGTTCTCATCAGAACCCAACCATGCTTGTAGCCTGATTTTGGACTTTCAGCCTCCAGAACTGTGGGAAACAAATGTTCGCTGTTAAAGCCCCCAGTCTGTGGTGTTTTGTTACGGCAGCCTGAGCTAAGACAATACTCTTCTCAAAATCTCCAAGAAAAGGTCACAGAATTGATGACAGTGATTTGATACAACACTCACGTTGCCCATTTCCTTGAACAAGGTTTGTTTAAATTGCCTTCACATTCTGTAAATTAACACTTTTGTGAGGAAAGTTAGCTGGTAAGTGTAGCTATTGAGGGTACATAGGAGGAAATGAGTATGGGAATAGAATCCTGGCTAGCACTCCCCACCAAGGATTTTATTTAACAAAGCTGACAGAGGGTTTAGATTGCAAAGTACTAGTTATGTCCTGGAGTTGGGTTAGTAATTTTCAATTAACTTTTAGGGTGGCATAGCCTGGTACCTAAACAAAACGAAGTGGCTGCTAATGATTTATTTGGTACTTTACACGCTGACTTAATTATACCAAGAGGTTTAATGCTGAAGCTCTCATCTCTGACTTTACCTCAGAACCACCCAAGAAGCCTTAGGTAATTGTACCCTTAGGCCCCACTCAGTACATCAGGGTGGGAGTAGAGAAGGCTAGTGCTTTTTTTTGAAGCATTTGTAGAATAGGTATGCTTTTGTCAAGATGTTGAAGTGACATAAGTATTATTTATTTATTTATTGTAGTACAGTTGATACACAATCTTTTTTTTTTAGGAGAGCCAGGGAGAGGCTTTTATTTAGATAGAAAGTGAGGGGACAAGAGAGCCTGGGGGTGATGCATTGTCTAGGGGATTTATAGGTAGTTGAGGATTTGGGGGAATTGATAAAGGGCTTAGGGGTGTGGACTTGTTAAAAGTGGTGTTTGTCCTTGATGAGACATCAAGTCCCTTTTTGCATGCTAAAGTGAATCTTACACATGATTATAAACGATCAGCTTAATAAAAACATGGGCTATGCTAAGATACTTTCCTTTATCTGGGGAATATTAACTGTGATACACAATCTTATATTGGTTTCAAGTATATAACACAGTGGTTCAACAGTTACCCATATTATTACATCCTCATCCCCCGCCCAATACAGTTAATATCTGGGAGTAACATAAGTGTTGATTTTCTTTTACCCCACAATCTCATTGAAGTGATTTCCCCAAAAAGGTGTAAGAAAAAAGTTCATAATAGAGCTGGCAAACAGGAAAGGAAAAGATCAACTGATAAGAGAAATTTTGAGGCCTTTCTGTAAGATACCAGCAGATGGGATTGGACTGAAAGAGGTAAAAAGAGTAGAAACTCAAAAGGACCTGGCATGTCCTGCTTGAGGTGAGAGCCATTCTTTGCGCAGGAGCTGGGAAGAAACGTCCCAGCACCATCTAGTGGAGGTCAGGAGTAGGTTTGGAGTGATTGGTTTTTGGGGTAATTAATGAAGACTGCGGTCCCACCTGCTACCTCATGCTGAGCAGCTGGTAGGAGCATTTGTCCCCAGGCAAGAACAGTTCTCTAAATAAAATGCAGGCTCCGTCTTGGGGTGGGGGTCCCCAGCATTCGGCTCTGAGGTGACAGAGAAGCCAAAGGCAACTTTGGACTTGGAGTGGGGGGAGTGAGGCTCACCACGCTTGTCCTACTTTGGCGAGGGAGAGGGTATTAGTCACTCAATGTCCTGCTCACGCAGCCAATAGGAAGCCTGGCTGATGGCCTGTCTGCCCACTTACGTGCCGGTTCTCACGGATTCAACCTAGACAGTGCTGGAACTCAGGGGAGAGGCCAGTTGTACAAATAGATTCTCTGGGATGTGTGCTGAGAAAATGACATGCTGATCCAGATTTGGCACGGACATCTAGTTATTAGCCAGATCTCTTGTCGATTTCCCTAGATGGATCGCTCGGTGCCTCTGCCTGCTTGCAGAGGGGAGTGAAACAGCAAGAGTGGACGTAACAAGCTTTGTTGATTCCCCATCACTTCACATTCGTGATCTGAGCCTTAGAATGACTCTGTGAGGTGCTGATGCTTTTATTCTCACTTTACAAATAAGACAGCTGAAGGTCAGTGAAATTCAGTGACTTACTGAGGTCCATACAGGTATTATGGCAGAGTTAGGTTTTAAAACTAAGTATGTGGACACAGACTATGTTCTCTTTCCATTACCAAGGAGTTTCCAACTTACTTAATTTCAACTACTTGATAAACATTAATTTCTAGAAGATAGAATGGACTTGGGAGTCTTTAGGTAGAATTTATCATGTGTGTCAAAATAATAGGTCAGTGAAGCTGCAAAATATTGTGGCATATTCTCAAACGATGGTTTCTATGTAAGCAAAATGGCAGTAGTGAAAAGCACAGTTCACTATATTAAAAAGGGATTAATTTAGGTATTTTAGGTTGCTAGAGTGCCTGTTAGTTTCCTGAAGCTGCTGTAACAAATTACCACAAACTTGGTGGCATAAACCAACAGACATTTGCTTTCTCACAGTTCTGGAGGCCAGAAGTCCGAAATCAGGGTGTCGGCTAGGTCACCTTCCTCAAAAGGCTGAGGGGAGACTCTGTTCCCTGCCTCCAGCATCTGGTGGCAGTTGGTATTTCTTGACTTCTCAGTTTGTGACTGTCACTGCATCTTTGCTCCCATCTTCATGTCCCCTTTTCCTCTGGTCTGTCTTCCCCTCTTTTGTCTCTTATAAGGATACTTGTCATTGGATTCATGGTCCACCTGGATAATCCAGGATCACCTCATCTCAGCATCCTTAACTTAATGGCATTTTTTGAAGACCCTTTTTCCAAATGAGGTCATATCTGGAGGGCACAGGGGTTTCGATGTGGATGTATCTTTTGAGGGGCTACCATTTCACCCACTACAGAGTGTAAATATTTTTTTTTTCATAGTAAAATAAAAATACCTTGACCCTTATACACTGTGGTGTATATTTATGCAACCTTCGGAACACCTCATCTCTAGGGACTAGGTCTATGTTACTTTTTTTAAACACCAGCAGGTAACAACAGCTGCCAGTCTGACAGCTGAAGCTTTCCTTGAGCCGTGTCTGTTTGTGATGACATTTCCTATGACTCTGTCTCGCCCTCCTTTTCTTTAGTTTCCTAGGCAAGATGTTTGGCTTTTCAGTCTTGAAAACTCCTGTTGAGAAGAAAGGCAATCAAGCAAAAGAAAATAAGGAAACTTCTGTGGTTTCTGTTTTCTTCAGTAGTGGAAAGAAATGGCATGTTTACTCAGCTCCAGATTGGAAAGAAAGGTAAAAAGCCTTGGGAAGGGAGTGGATATTGGGCTGTTTATTTTTGAGTCACTCACATTCTTCTGTTTGCAGATGGAAAAAACTGAAAGCTAGAAGGATTATATAAGGTCACTTGGCAAGTCATAGGCTGACCTGGCATTAACACTTGGAGCTTCCGGGCTTTCTGCTCCCATCCCCTGGACTGCGGTGCGTCTCAAGGGAGTTTCATTCCATTAATCTTTGGTTGTCTGGGCAGTGTGTAAGGGTCTTGACACAGTCAAACGAACACACAGGGCAAGTTAAGCCTTGCATTTGTTATGTTTGAGCCTCATTTCGTAACAGGAGAAAAAAACCAAACGCTGTCATTGCATCGTTTAGGTTCTCTGTAAGCTGCTAGGGGTATGGCCTCTGCAAGGAAATGGATTTTTTTTTCTTCCAAGCTAGTAACTAGTAACTACCACTGGTAATGCCTTCTTCAAATCCAAGTGAATTGTCTGAAGGATTGCCATGGCTGGAGGCACACTGTTTATATGGTTGTAGGAGAAAAACAGCAGAACAGAGCAGAGGATGGCCTTTTTTCTTAATGAGGACTTGCTCCAACAGTTTGTCTAAAAGCACAGTTCCTTTTGCAGACTTTGGACTGCTTTGAACTTGTTTGCAAGGTCAGCCCTCCACCAACTTGGTGGAATCAAAGCAATGTGGGGAGTGGAGTAAATGTTTAAGTAAACCAAGCCAAGGAAAACTTTGCTGCATCTCCAGAGCAATTGATAGCTCTAATAGGTACTGCTGGGTGGCGTGACAACGTAAGGTCTGAGTGCCAGGCAGTATTGCCAGACTACACAGACTTCTACATGACAAACAGACTTCAGTGAAGCACCTCATTAATAGTCTTATGCTTTGAATCATTTTGTCTGTAAATTTGGTGCCTTAGGATTTTCTTGCTAATTCTTGTCAGGTCTAACGTGCTGATAAGCACTTTTTGTGCTAAGTGTATGATTGAACATTATAAGCCACAAATCTTACTCTCAGAAAGTTCACATAAGATGTTTTTTCATTGGACCTCATAACCGCATTGGCCTTCTAGTTTATTGTCTTTGCGTGGAGAAGTTTTCCAAGGTGCATGTGTCATCTAAAGGACAAGAACCCTCCCAGTGTGTATCTAAGGCGACAGTCATGTTGGTAGTTATGCTGGCATTTCTGCTTGCCAACCTTTTGGAGGTACTTGGTGGGTCAGTAATTTGGAATATGTCTTGTTAACTATAAACTTCTGAAAAGCTTGAAAACTAAAAGTTTCTACAGATTTATCTAATTCCCAGTTTGATTGCCATGTAAGCCTCAAGTCTAAGTTTGTTTTCTGTTTTCACTTGGGCCCAGAAGTCGTTGTAAGGATTTCTAAGGCCAGGAGAAACCAGTGAGCTAAAGGCAACCTGGCCTAAATGGCGTACCTAGTAGATGTAGGCTAGGCAGACACTGGAGCTTGCTTAAGGAGTCCATGGGGCATCTCCAGAAAAGAGACCCTTTTCCAGATTGCAGATACTAAAATTTAAACCTCAGTAGGAAGATGTTTGCCATATTAGACTCATTTTCTGCAAGTGTGTTTCTCTGGATTTATCCATTTCAGCTTTAGAAGTGGGCCTCAGCCAATGACCCTTTGTTCAGAGAAGTAGCCACCAGAACTAGCCTGCTTTTGTGGTCACTTCCCCGGCCCCTCATGCAATTTGTTCGCCTCTCCTGGCCTACACTTTCCTCACTGGTGTGCTGTTTCATCCTTGCTTAGCCACTTTTTCTCTATGGTGCTTCTTCTTTGACTCAGCTTTCATTGGTTCTCCTGAATGTCATCTCTCCTGGGCCCCAGGTTCTTAGTTCCTATCCCTGCAAGTAGGTCTGGGCTTCCTGGGTCAAACAAAAATGGTGTCTACAAATTACTTTGTCTCAAAGAGTGTTTCTAGATATAGTTAGGGATAAAAAATGTGTTTCCTAATAAGAGGAAAGCTTGTGGGTAAAGCCTTGCCAGTTAAAAAAGATGTAAGAACACAAGGTTCAATGTCTCTGACCCTGCCCTCATCCAAGATGTTTTCTTGTCTTTTCTTTCCACACCTACCAAAAAAAGGTACCAAAGTTGAGAACCTTGTGAGATCCACTGAATTTTAGCCCTGTCAGTGGGTGTGAGTAAAACAATAATTACTGAATTTGGAAGCTTATGAAGGTGTCATTTTGACAGTACCGGGAATGGAAGTTTTCTGTTTGCATTGCTTGCAAAACACTTGCAATTTAGAAAGTGGAATATTTCTAGAGCTTCTTTAGGGACAAGGCTTTGACCTTTATTTTGGAAGAGTAAAGGTCAGCCAAAGGTGTGAAATGCTCAGCTTGCAACAACTCAGTGCTCATTGTATCAGCTTTTAACAAGAGTGACAGAATGGGTTCCAGTTGGTATAAAGGAAGAAGTGGGGCTAAAAGTTGCATCCTTGATTGACACAGTGGCTAGGGTCTGGTTGCAGCTTTCCCAGAAACTTAAATTTGCTCCCCAGGTGCTGGTTTACATGCACAACTGTCAGGAACTATCATAGTGACATGTCAAATAGCTATGCTCTTCACAGAAAAAGCTAGAACTTTGTGTTGGTAAGTAAAAGCCCTCCAGAGTGGCCACCCACTTAGTGGTTCCTGACAATAGTTATTGTATTTTTTTCTCTCCATGGTTATGTACTAACAACCTCCCAAAGCCATAGTTGCCCTCATGTTTCATTCTTAATTACTTGAAAGATAAATAATACAGGGAGTGAATGTGCACCGTGATTAATTAAAATCCCCAGGAAATGGAACAAACGGAAGAGAAAAGTGCTTTTTGAAAGTAGTGAGTACAGTAGCTTACCATACTACACAGAGAAACTTACAGGCACATATGGCTATGGCTGGCGCTCTTTGGGCCCCACACCACATCTTCTTGGCCCACCTCCGCTCAGCTGTGGTGGACAGCTCTGGTGGGCAGAGTCTGCTTACTTTCTCTCTCTTTTGCCTCAAGGTTTTCCCCGAAGCCTCTGGAGTTTATTCAGTCCTTGCTGAAGTGTGTCCCCAAATGCAGGGGTGTTAATGCCCTCTCAACCAGCAGGGCAAGGGAGTTGACAATTAAATGTCCTAATCCTAGTCCTTCAGAGAAGTGCTCTGAAGGGCATTTGGCTTGTGCTCAGAAGTCCTCAGTGGGACCCAGCCCCAGGTACCTGAAATGGCCAATCAAGAATGCATTCTTTATTGGCTTTTCCTTCTTTGATGCACTCTTCTGTCTCACTGATTCCTGCTTCCCGAGATCACCCCCTAAAGCCCTTTGTCTTAGATTCTGCTCTGGTGAGAGCCCAATTAAGACAACTGCCATCATATATCAGACATCAGTAAAAGCATCTCCTTCAGCCCTCAATGGACAATTAAATGCCCTCTTTTACATCCCTGTAGATAAAGGTCATATTTCCAGATTTCTTTTAAATTTGGATGCCAGAAAAATGGAAAGATGAAGAAAAGTATTATTTGTTTCTTATGATCATATCAAAATAAGACTTTCTGAGGCCCTGAATTGAGATGGTTATGGCTTCAGAAAGTTAGAAGCACATTCTTCACACCCCATTTTCAATTACTGGCATGTCATTTGAAACATTTTCAGAGTTTGGCACTGAATGCTACTTGCAACTCAGAACCACATATGTAAAATTGTAACACAAGATAGGGAAGAGTAATCTGGTCAACTGGTCTGCCTTTAGACAGAGTGAGAGTTCAAACTAGTTGTCTGGCTGGGAGCAATATGAAAAGATATTCCACAGTGAAGTTAACAGCTATGAAGACCAACTTCTGGGAACACTGGATCCCCAGGCTGGGCTCCATCCAATCTGGAAATTTGATTTTAAGTGTTATTGATTATTAAGAGCTAACTTGGGACTTCAGAATGGAACTCTTCATGCTCAGAGTTCTAAAACTAATCTGGAGCTGGTCTCTGAGTTAGGAGGTGATGAGCTGCTTAGCTCCATTGTTTAGAGCAATACCCAAGCCCTCTTTCTGAAGAGATTCAATAAATGCTATTTTGACAAGTGCATGTTAGAGGTAATCTGAGTTTTGTCATGAGCAGGCTCCCATCAGGTATTTTTGATGTAACCAAAGGTCTAAAGATAAACAGGACTTGGACATGCAGTTTTTGAAAGAACCTTAAGTGTAATCTGTATTCCATATGTAATTCATTGCAAATTTATTCCAACTAGATTATGTCATTTTATATAGCTGCACAATCCACCAACTCTTAACTGGAGAACAGCATTCTAAAATGACAGTAGAGACAAATATTATATTAGCAAGATTGTAAGTGGACTTATTTGTCATTTTATTAAACTTATTTTTGAAAATCCTCCTCCTATCTCCCTCGTTATGTGCCTCTGCACCTGGCAGTCTCTTTCAGGTTGACTGGCCACTTCCTTGTTCTCTTTGCTTGCTCAGTTGAAATTGTGGCATCTTCAGGATCGGTGTCATGACGTCGGTGTGTTAGGTATATCAGAGAGTAAAAGGGATCAGAGTGTGTGTCATGGAAACTCCTTTACCGATGATGAGGTTAATCCCAGAATTTGAAGAACTCTTTCATGTATTAAAAAACTGAGGAGCATGTTCTGTGTCATAGGCACTGCAGTGGTTTTTAAGGGATTCATGGTGCAGAGGCCCACTCCTTGTTCCTCCCAGAGCTCCCATTCTTTCTGGAGTGTGGAGGGTTCTGTGTGTGATGTGGTGGCCCCTCAACCAGAAGACCCTGCAGCAGGAACATGGATCTCCGACTGCAGAGGGGTATGCTTTTGGCAAGGCCTCCAAGTGAGGAGACGCCTAGGCTGACTTTGGAATGACTAATGGGGAAAGTGAGGTAAAGGGAATGAGGGGGTGAAACATTGAGGAAGAGGGTGCAGTGTGTTTGGAAGCACAGGATGGCAAGTGCGGGTACTTCCGGAGCACACGGTGTAAGGATGTCATGCAAGAGATAGGCTGGTCCCAGCAGGAAGTGGCTTGTACTGTATCCGTGAATGAATTTAAATTTTATCCCAAAGAAAGGGGGGTGCTATTGATGATGTTTAAGCAGGGAGTTGTAAGGTAAGGTTTTGGTATTAAAATGGGAAGATACATGGGACTTGAGAGGCAGGCACATGTGGAGGCAGGAAACCCACTTAAGGAAGCTATCACAGTGCAGGGGG